ACCTCCCCTGGAGCCCTGCGTCCAGCTCGGGAGCCCTCAGCACAAGGAGGACATGGAGCTGTTGGAGCGGGGCCAGAGGAGGGCTACTAAAATGCTCCGAGGGCTGGAGCCCCTCTGCTCTGAGGCCAGGCTGGGAGAGTTGGGGGTGTTCAGCCTGGAGAAGAGAAGGCTGCGGGCAGAGCTGAGTGCGGCCGGTCAGGGCTTCAAGGGGGCCCAGAGGAAAGGGGGGGACAAGCTTTTTAGTAGGGCCAGCTGGGACAGGACAAGGGGGGATGGCTTTAAACTGAAGCAGGGGAGGTTTAGACTGGATCTAAGGAAGAAATTCTTTCCAGTGAGGGTGGTGAAACCCTGGCAGGGGTTGCCCCGAGAGGGGGTGGAGGCCCCATCCCTGGGACCATTCCAGGCCAGGTTGGCCGGGGCTGTGAGCAACCTGATGTGGTTCAAGGTGTCCCTGCTCCTGCGGGGGGGTTGGGCTGGGTGGGCTCTGGGGGTCCCTTCCCACCCAAACCATTCTGTGATTCTATGACGCCAGGGGAGCAGCCCCAGGCTCACCCAAGCCTCCGCTGCAGGAGGTGACCAGCAGAAGGAGGTGGCCTGGAGGAGAGAAGAAGCTATGGGGTGGGAGCCACGGGGCAGGTTCAAGGCCATGGGAGCACGAGTGGCGCAATCCCCACCCCCAGCAGCACCGGAGCCAGGGGAATTTGGGCAGAGAGACAAAACCAGGCCAGGGTCCTTCCCTCTGAGGGGACGGAGGCTGCTCCTCCTGCAACGGCCCCGACACTGCTCCAGCTCGGCCATTGCCACAATTCAGGGCCCAAAAAGCAACGTCCCTGCGATTCCAAGGACTTTGGGTTTTGATTTTTTTTTTTTTTTTTCTTTTTAAAGAATCTTAGCAGCATGGAAACCCCGCTGAATTCTCCCTCGGGTGACGCCAGCCATCGCTACAGAGGGAGGAACTGGTTTATAACCTGACAAATCACATTTATAGCCAGATACGCTCCTTATATATACCTCAAATATACACAGTACCTGAATATATAGACATCCACATATACACCCAAGGTTAAAATCCCGAGCGGCATTGGGAGTCAGGTATGAACACGTATGGGGGTGCGTGTCTGGATTCGGGGTGATGTCCAGTGCGCCCCGGCTCGGTGCGAGGTGGGGGGCAGGAGGGGGAGGCTCCCAGCCTCCCTGAAAAATGGGGATGGGGCAGGATAAGGAGCGAGATCCCCGTCCCTTGGCTGCTGCCGGCGGGATTAGTGTTGGGTTCCTCCTGCCCGGCCCTGCTGCGGCGGTGAAGGGGTATGGCTTTGCCGAAGGGTGGCACGGGAGGACGCGGACGAGAGCCATGGCAATTCACGTTCATGCAAGAGAAGGGCTGAAGAGCCGCCGCAGGCAAATAAATTCCAGGCAGGGAGCTGCTTCGGGCCGGTCACGGAAAGTTTCCTGGCACAAAACCCACCGCCAAGACCTTTCCCGGCGTAGCACACC